ACACGAGGGGCTCTGGAGGAATTGTTGAGCGTCTGGGACATGCCAGCCGTGTTCTGGCCCGGCCGAGCACACGGCACGCTGGCGTCTCAGAAGCGACATTGGAGGGCTGCCCCGCATACAAATGGAACCACTTCATGGCCCCAGAAGCCTCTCGTGTGGTTTAAGTTAGAAGTGGTATTGGTTGTTTCTGATCCCAAAACCTGTGTGTGACATGGACACCAGACTCTGACTCTTCGTACCACACTATGCTTTCAAGTGGCTAGGGAGACGAGTTCAAAATACGTAATGTACGAAATTAGTTTCAGGGCCGGAGGATCCTCGACCACCAAAACCCCATGGATGTGAGATACCTGCCGCGCGACCCTCGCTTGGCCACAGAAGCTTTTGGAGTGGGGAGTGCGTGTGGTGACGGAGGGCAGGGTATCATCTTCCCGTCACTCCCCCGCCAGACGGACAGGCTGGCTGGTCACGGTGACAGCGACATCTACTTGGCTCATCTTGGGTGCTTGGGCTTTAGACGTCTGGGATTTGTCAGGGGCCCGGAGTGTGCACGCACGTGTGGCTACTGCTGAGGACGCGGGGCCGTGTGGGGTGGAGACGCGTTCCGGGCTGGGAGGAAGCCTGGGGGGGGGGGTCACCGTCGGATCTCCCCCGGAAAAGCTCCACTTAGGGAAAGTAAATTGTGCGTACCAAGCGCAGAGAATGTGCCCTTTGTTTCAGAAGCACTAGGAGAGTGCCGAGTTGGGTGAGGCCGGGAGAGAAAATGTCTTTGGTTGACACTTGCGTGGACACAGTTCGTTCTCCTGGGCCTTGTGGCACTTGCTTTGATGTCCCAGTTCCCTAGGGATGTGGAGGCCAGCAGGCACTCTCTGCTCTCGGAGACGGTGTTTCTGGGATGACTTTTCCCTCTGAGAAGACGAACTGCTAACCCCAAGTACTATGTTGTGTTCTTCAGCTGGGGACCTGTAATCTACAGAGCTGGCGATTTGTAGATGCCCCCACCCTCTTCTGTTAGCCTTGTTGTTTTTACCACTCTCAGGACTCATAATTAGCCAGTAAGTGGCAAATAAGAGAGGACGCATCCATCCATGTGTAAATGCTGTTAAGACCTGACACACCGCAGAGCCCAGGGCAGCACGTATCGGCACGACGCTGAGACACTTGACCCACAGATGTTCCCTCGTATTAAAATACAAAAGTGTGGGGGGAAATTAGAAACCAGATAGACCAACAATTTGGAGAAGGAAGAGGGAGCCAGATGGGTGGTTTGTGGTGATTATTGGGCACACTCCGGTTTCCAGTAGGGAGACCCCAGATAGAAGCCGCACAAGAAAGACTCCTGCTTTAATTTTCCGACAGAGAAGAGTATGTAGTTAGCTGAATGACATAATGAGAGTGAAGAGCGGAAGGTAATTACGGTAGACGAAGGTGGAAGTGAGGTGAAGTATGTCGGCATTTGGAGGTGGAGGCAGCCCGTGCAGAAGAAGCAAGGGCTGCTTTGGGGAAGAACGGCGGTGGTGTTTTCCAGGTCTGTCCCTCCACAAGCACCTCTCCTGCCCAACCGCCTCCTCTGCCCAGTGTCGCAGCTAAGCTGCCATCCCTCCTGCGTCCGTAGCTCAGCACCTCCCTACTGTCCCAATGCCCCTGGGCTGTCTGAGCTCTTTCTCTTTTACCCACCTCCACTTGGAAGTCCTCCGGGGTTTGCACAACTCCTCCTCCTCCAGCACAAGGCTCAGGGGAGCCCGGGGGTCCCTGGGCAGCAGTTTGGGAAGTGCCATGGTTTCCCTCAGAAAGCACATACTTGGAGAGCAGGGCTGAGGTCGGTCAGGACTCCGGGAACGCCGCCCCCACCCCGAACACGCCACCCCTGCCACGGGGGCAGTTTCTCGGACTTGAGTGGCTGGGACGAAGGCAGAAGTAGGTCATTGCAGCAGGAGGAGAAGTCACCTGTTCGGTGCCGCGTCCCATGCTTGTTCTTTGGCTGACAGACTTGGCACATGTAGAAGTATTTTGGTTTTTAGCAATGTGAAGCATTTCCCGAACCATTTTAAACTAAACTCCTTTCTTGCACTCTGAAAAATTCTGCAGTTGTACCAATTCTGTGAAGATACTAGTTTAGATATGGAAGTTATTTAAAACCATCCTCATCTTTAGCAAAAATTATCACTGGTTTTTGTGAAGGCCTGCTCAAGTAGGCTGGCCTCGCTGAGCATCCTCTTCTCAGACCAGCCTCGTAGAAGGTTTCTTCATACTCTCTGCCCTGTTTAATAGTCTACTTTGTTAGGAAGTACGTAAATCCCTTGCCGTAAATGGATTTGTTGCCTACAAATAATTTTAAAGAATATATCCTGGAAGCAAAAATTAAATGTAGATACCGAAATATAGTACGTCTACTGGTTATGTCCAGAGTGTAGATTATATTAGATACACATGTATACATCGTACATGTGTAGACTTAAAGCATCATACATACATATGGCAAACGTAGTATGTATACACACATACCAGCGAAACCTTCTAATATATGTAAATTGTTTTAAATAACACAAGTTTTTCAATGCCAGGACTTTTAAAAGCTCGTTTATAAAATTCAACAAATACTGACTAATGCTTTCCATGTTCTGGGCCGGAGGTTGACCAGCCTTTTCTGTAAAGGCTTAAATTTTGTGTTTTTGGCTTTGCCAGCCATACTCTCTGCCCCCAGCTCAGCCGTCAGAGCAAGAAAGCAGCCGTAGTTGGTACATAAATGAACGGGCATGGCCACGTGCCAGCGAAACTTCATGTATTACGGGTACTGAAGTTTGAGTTTCAAATAATTTTCACGTGTCACACAGTAGTAGTAGTCGTTTGATTTTTTTTTCCCCAAGCATTTAAAGATACAGAAACTGAACTTGTGTCCGCACAAAAACACAGGCCCTGATTTGCCAACCCCCGTTCTCAGCAGTCTTCCAGCTAGAGAGCTACAGCGGTGACCGGAACAGAGTCCCTGTCCCCACCGAGCCCTGCGTTCCCGTACAGCGCAGGACTTTGTAAGTGCCACGGGTCCGGTAGCTGACAGGTGTTGCCTTTCTTAGGGGAGTCTTCCTCATCGGACAGTTCCAGCTTTAGTGTTTGCACTCACCTGACCTGAAAGTGAATTTGGGGGGAAGCCTGGGTGGCTCAGTCGGTTAACTGCCTTCGGCTAAGGTCATGATCTTGGGGTCCTGGGATCGAGCCCCACGTTGGGCTCCCTGCTCAGTGGGGAACCTGCTTCTCCCTCTCCCTCTGCCCCTCCCCCCTCCCCGGCTTGTGCTCTCTCTCGCTCTCTCTCTCAAATGATCTATAAAGTGAATTTGACACATAAATGTGCTAACTAGTAACATCCTCGCTGTGAGGTATTTTTTCTAGATCGTGTCGTCTGCCGGCCCCCGTTTTTGTGCCCTGCGAACGCCTCATCGTCTCACTTGTGCCAGGCCACCGGGTTCGGTGCTGGGCCTGCGTCGTTCTGAAGCGAGGGCCGAGGCTGCGGGCCCTGGAGCGGCCTTCACCTTCCCAGGCACAGCAGTACTGAGCTGTTCGTCTCCACTGTCCTCTTTGCCTGTTTCCAGACACCAGAGTGCTCTGCCGAGGAGCCGGCCAGCCCTGTGGCGTCCCCGCTCCAGAGTGCTGATGACAGGGCTCTTTCAAGGTAGTTTGTAGCCCACAGGCTCACGCCTTGTGTGTGTGGTAGCTATGGAAACTTCAGAAGCAGTCTCTCTAAAGCTAAGCACACAATAAAGCACTTCACGTGTTGGTAGGATTAGACTTTAGAAGATGTTTAATTTTCTCCCCCACTCTTTCTTTCCGTCTGTCTCTTTAGAGAGGGAACAAGAGGGCAATGTGAATATTAACTGGGACTCGCTTTAATCTCCCTAGTGACACTCGGGGCTGGCGCGGGGCTGCCCGGGGCTCTGGGCTTTCACAGCCGCTAACAAGGACAGCCATGCATATTCATGAGCCAGGCTCGTGCGTGAGACCCCGTTTGTAAGGGCTGTGTTTCAGTGTTTCTCTTTTCAAACCAAGTTTTATGAAAGAAGCAACCACTGAATTTGGTTTTTTAATTATTATTAAGCCAGAGACCCTAGTCGGTAATGCAAAAATGTTCTCACTGGAAATGGGGACAAAGTCGAGCTTGTCTGTGTGGCACTTAATTTATAGCCAGACAACACAGCCCCGAGTGTGGGAGCTCGCTGGAGGTGGAGACGCAGAGCACGCCTTTTGTATTTGCCCAGAAAAAGTGGGTGGCGGAACGCCGTGTTCCGACTCCACGAAATCCTCCTCTTTTAAAGAGGAAGTACTACCATTTCCCTTATAGAAGAATGTGAAACATGCATTTAAGGGAAGAGGGTGGGGGGCTTGCCGTCCAGTTATTTCTCATCTTCGGGGTGTGCACAGGCTGGCTCCAGTGTGTGGCCGTGCTTCTCCCAACCCCTCCACTCCCTCCGCACACTCCCTCCGGCCCTGTGAACGCCAGTTTTGGAAAAAGACAAAAATGCCTTTTCTGCTTTGGGCTTTACTGCGTCTTCTGTTAGGCTGTCCATTTGGTGGCTGTGCCGGGCATCCGTCCCTCGAGAAGTCCACAGCTGTCGCGTTTTGTTCCTGGCGTGGTGCTGGCCACCTGTCGGGAACCTTCACCGCTCCCGTTCTCCCCCGTGCTCCTCTCTCCCTGGATGTAAACTGGGCGGCGTGTCGGTGTTTAGTTTCCAAGTGCGTTGAGGGTGAAGTGCTGCAGAGCTCCTGTGGCAGGATTTTCACAAAATGCGTCCATTGCCTCGGCACGATGGGCGTGATTGAGATCTGCCCTCTCATCTGCCCACACGGTGGGAATTCTCCTGGGGTCTGTTGACATGGGCCCTTTGTGGACACGGTGCACGCAGCTTTCTTGCCTGGCTTGCATTTACACGGGTTTCCTTTCATCTCATCCCTCCACCCTGCCAAGCCCTGAGTCAGGAAACCACCCCGAGAACAAGCAGGAAAAGCAGAGCTCGGGCGGCTCACTGCGGCGTCGCCACGGCCCCACCCACGGGCTGAGTGGGAGATAGCGCTGCCGGGGCCAGACGTCCAGCGGACCTCGCCCGGCGCCGTTCGCGGGGTGTTCGGGCGGACACACAGACACAGTCCGCGCTCCTGTAGCGTCCACAGCCCGCTTCGTGTCAGGGGCCAGACTGGCTGCTGGGGGTGCACAGATGGACTCGGGGCGGCTCCTGCCCTCACGAGGCTCACAGACAGGTGAGTACGGCGCAGCAGGCTGGGCCGAGGGCTGCTAGAGAGCGCGCGGCAGACGCGCTGGGCGCACCTGACCCACACCGTCCGGAGGCAGGGCCCGGCGTGGCGATGTTGCTGGAGCCCAGATGCGAAGGGCGCCTGGCAGGAGAGGTACGCAGCGGCCCTTGGCAGGGGTCTTGTTTGCCCTGTAACAGTTTGATCAGTGCAGCTCTGGAAGGTGGCTCACTCTCCAGAGACACCTTGCCTTTCGTCTGGCAGCATCAAGCTGACGCCGGATTCCTCCATTACTGAGCCGCCCCCCCCACCACCCCCTCCCGTTTCCAGGAGCTCTCATGGGCCATAGAGGGGAGTTTCGGGTTTCCTGCTTTCAGTCACATTTCAGTGAATTACCAGGAAGCTTTGGAAAGAAGTGCTTTGCTCCTGTCGTTAGCATTCAGGAATTCTACACGTGAGCTAAAATTCTTCAGTCTTCTATCTTTTCTTGCCTAAATTTACCCTTCAGTTGTTTGCTCCTTCAGTCAGATGTCCTGACACCGCCTCCCCCTTTTCATACAGAGTGAGGAAATGAATTTGTAGAGTGATGTCATTCTCGATGAGAAATCACTTGCAGCCCACGATTCATGGTTCAGAAATTCACTAACACGTTAGAAGTGTTTGTCATCTAGGATCCTCACTTTTATTCTCTATACTGGCGTAGAATGGGGCTTCGGTGATTGTGGAAAAGGGGGAGAAAGTCACAATTAGGCTCTGTGCATTTGAGTATTTGTAGGGATTCTATCTCCAGAAAGAAAACACAGCCCTTATAAAGGTACTGGGCTTTATCATCGAAGGATGACGGGTAAATGGCAGAAGGACATTCTCCCACCAAATTATAGAATCAGCATCAGCTGGGCATCAACCGTTCCTATTCTGTGCCATCTGGAACAGGTTGGTCATTTATACTCACAAGTGGTTTTGATGGTAAACCTCCAGAGACCAGTGGGTCATTCACTCAGCAAACATCTGCTCATCCTCTTCTTGGGGCCCATGGCCCCAGCCGGCAGGGGCCGGGAGAGGCCGGGAAAGGCAGGGCCAGCGTGGACCGTCTGTGATCAGGGGCCATGAGGAGCTCAAAGGCCTTGTCAGGATTGTGAACCAGCGTGGGTGTGTCGGAGGGACTGGGAGGGAGTAACCTTTTAAAACCCCAGAAGAATCTGTCCTGAACATAAAACGGCCATGTTTACTGCATCTCACTTGGCTGACTTCAGTGGACAGGCTCATTTTTTTACTACCTTGCTCTGAGGTTACTGAACTAGGGAAGCAGTTTGATTCACATCCTTTCTCAGACTCTACAAGAAAGAGCCACAGGCTTTATGCACATTGCAGCCTTTCTCTGTGGCCTCTTGCGTCCAGCTGAGGGAGCTAGAAAGGTCTCAGCGCTGGCCTCCCCGCTGTGCTGGGAGCTAGGACAGGGTCAGAAGCGTTGACCCTTCAGGCTGAAGAGCCTGTTACGTTCTGGGGACACAGATGCCCCCATTCTGACATCAGAAATGCCTGCACCAGAAACACCCTGCAGTTGGGGGGAAAGAGCTTGTTTTTCTTGCCAAATTCCATCCGATTGTGGGCAGGGAGGCCTTGCTTTATTGGAGAAAGCGTTTACTCCCCCCTAGGTGTTTCGTTATTCCCTCCGGACTAACAGAAGGTGCCGGGCCCACTGTTCTGGGCATTGCCTACACGTCCCTGGATCCATGGGTTGGTACCCCTGGCAGTTTCTCTACGGTCTTTTCTAGAACAACATAGAGCAGCAGTTTAATGCTTTCCTGAGATTTACACAGTTCTTGGTCACTGAATAAAAGACCTCAGTAAATAATACAGCGATTCTGTTTTCTGTCTGCTGTGAAGGATGCTATGCTGAACGTGCAGAATGGGGGTGGGGGCACAGCAAGGCCAGAGGACGAGATGCTTTCTTGAGAGCACAAGTATGCAAACTAAGGACAGCAAATCCTTCAAAGGCTTTCTAGCTCCATCTTTAAAATGCGGCCGAATGAGGGAAATTCCATGATGACTCCTAGGAGACAGTTCTTATTTATAACTGAGCTGGCTTTAAACAAGATGAGTCTCCTGTCTGCTTCTAACTTGGCATCTTTGTGACTAACGCTGTCGTGCTCTTATTCTTTCTCTGGTGGCTCAATAACATGGTTATCTAAGTGTGTGTGTGTGCGTGTGTGCACGCGCGTGTGCGTGCGATCATAGAGTTCAGATGTTTTCCTGCTCATTCGTTCATCAAATCTTGATTAAGTACCTCCATGTGCTGGACATCACACACGTACACACACGTGGGACATACATGTACAATGCATGTGTTGCAGCTTTCTCGTTACTTCCCTCTTTGGATGCATATTCATATAGAACATGCTCTGTGAGAACTTGTTCGCTGATGCTGTGTTCCTGCCCTCCCTTTCCAATAACGCTCATGTGAACTCCCGAAACGGGAAAGTACGTTGGCAGATTCCTTCACTCGGCCTCCAGTTCTGACCCAGTGGGTGGTGTACGCCATCCGCAACCTTACCGAAGACAATAGTCAGAACCAAGATCTGATTGCGAAGATGGAGGAACAGGGACTGGCGGACGCATCCCTACTTAAAAAGATGGGCTTTGAAGTTGAGAAGAGGGGTGACAAGCTGATTCTGAAACCTACTAGTGACCCACCTCCGCTGGTGAGTGTGCCAGAGCAAGCCCCTCTGGGTCCAGCCTCCCCGTTCCCTCGGCCTGTGACAGGGTTCCTTCCTGAGAACATGGCTGGGCACACTTTGCCTTCTAAAATGGCCAAGAAAGCCCGAAATTTAATTGCCAATAATTTTGGGTTTTTTGTTCAGGCTTTATGCTGCCATTGTCTTAAAAGTTCAGACTCATTTTAGGGGAGAAATATAAAAGTCATATCAGAATTTTTACATGGTCTGAAGTTTCTAGATTTTCTAGTGGAGAGATGGCTAATGTTGGCTACTATGAAAAGAGCAGGAAGCTCCCTATATAATAGTGAGTGTTTCAGGTTTCTCTCTTAGCTCTTGACCAAAATTCTCTTGTGTTTTTTACCCCCCTTGGATGATTCTTATAAATAGATCTGTTACATCTGCCATTTTGTTTCTTTTTTCTTAGTGAATGAACTCTCCATCGAAATATCTGAATTTTTGGAATCTGTTTCCTGGATTTTCGTCTTCTGCAGTATGTGAAATTGCAAGTGTTTGAAGATTTATTAAGTGCGAATTCAGGAACACATGAATCCTTTAGATAATAGAGTTTAATGTGGATAAGCTCAAAAGTGAAAGTACATGAGTATTCTGTTGTTTCTTTGCTTTAGAAACTGTCTGGTTTGCCTTTGTCCCCATGGATACAGTGTGCATTTAAGTAATATATTGTACTTACTGTGGCAACAGATAATAAATTCTTCTCCTCGAGGGTGCATCCCTTATTTGGCAAAGACTGGAGCATTTGATTGGATTCCATTTGTTCCTTCAGATGGCAAATCAGCCTGATTCCTTTTCTTCTCTGCTTGTTGGGTTTTCTGCACTCTGCCAGGCAGTTGAAGTAGTTTCTCACTGTGATTAATTCTAGCAATCTCTTTTCACCCTTTCTGCCTTTCCAAAACATTGACAAGACTCATTTCCAGCTAATTAATTCGAGAGATGCTGAAGAATAGAGAAGCTCCATCTTCATTTTAGGGACTGGGCTGTGCTGTCACTGAGCCCGCCCTTTGGAACGTTGTCGCAGGGAGTGAGCGGAGTGGGGAGAGCTTGCAGGCCATTAACTCTTCTCTTTCCAAATCACCCGGGAAGAGACCTCCCGGACCATTGTGCTCCCAGGGGGATGCCTGCCTCTGACCCACTTTTCGTGCCTCTGTGAAGGGGGCTCTGTGCACAGGACCACAGGATTAAAGAGCGTCCGTGTCTTGTTCACTTTCAAAGGCACAGTCTCCCAAAGCACGCCACCCCAGTTCCGGCCACGGCTCCACTTTCCGGAATTGCAAAAGTAGCTTTGGGGAGCGAGAGCAAATTTGACCTGTATCTTTCTATTTCCATCTCTCTCTCTCTCTCTCTCCCTATATATATATATATACATATATTAGAGCTGGAGCATTAAAACGAGCACTGAAATTTCAGATCATTGATGTAACCAAAAAAGCTCTAGAAGGGAGGTCATGTATGAACATTCCTGAACAGCCAGTTATTAAAAGCTATCTAGAGATTTTGCACAGTTCCTGTTGAATCTTCCAAAATAAAAACAACAAAGATTCAGCCAGAAGTGTTACAGAAATACTGATTGTTCCAGAGTAAAGTGCTTTTAAGTTTTTTTGGTAGCCATACTTAAATTGCTTTTGTAAAAACAGCTTAAGCATATTCAGAATGAAATGAAAGTTGTCCCCCTTGCTAATGTACTCTGTATCTCTGAAGAAACTCAGCTTCTAGAATTGTGGTAATCTGTGAATAACATTTTTTTCTCTCTCATTTATGACATTCCATCAGTAAAGAAGCCTTTGCAAAATTTAAAATGCACAAAGAAGTCGTTCTTTCCTGGGACACAAAGAGTTAACATCCTGTCCTCTAAATAGAGGGCCCGCCAAAGGAAAAAAAAACAGTGGGAGTCCCTTTTTCCTTTTAACAAGTTTGCAATAGACACTTCTTTTTCTTCTTCTCTCAATGGATGTATGCACACCAGTGGAATCAAACAAACATGTCGGTATAAGCCATATAATAACAAACACAAATAAACAAAAGGGAGCCTTGTGTGGGAACACAGAACGGGGTAATGGCTGTGTGTTTTCTAACTAGGAAATGTGGGGCTTGCATAGTGAAAACAGGCTGACAGCTGCATTGTGGCTGCTTGGACGCCCTGGATGGCTAATCCTCCAGCACAACCAACAGCTTCCCTGTCCTCCCTCCACCACTTGGCCATTCTGAGAGCCTCGTTCTACATGCTTGCTGCAGAGGATTAAATCACCATCTCAATCAGGCATTTAGAAGAAGAAGAAAGGCAGGCAGGCTAGCCTTACAGCATTTGTAAAGGGACAGAATGGTCGCAGCAAGTTTTGTGACCATATTATCTTCCAAGAGCAAACTAACAAAGCTGTTCGATTTTTTAGCCTGTTCCGTTATCAAAGAAAGTGGGGGAAGGCTTTTCTGCTTGATACTGAGTCCAAGTATTTGCAGAGTGATTTTGTTTAATGCATTAACAATGCATGCTAATGTTTCAAAACTACTTGCACGATTTTAGTAATATGCTATTATAATTTGTCCGTATTTTATATATATGTATATGTCCACATGAATACACCTCGTAGGGTTGTTTGTGAGGTTTTTTTAGAAGCTAATATTGAGATACGTTTTTGTTCAGTAACTTCTGAATCTAGCCACAGAGCTTGGAAACTACTAAAAATGCCCATTTTGCAAAATGAAATACAGAGAAGTGATTGTGGTCATTTGGGCTACAATTAGTACATTTTAAGTCAAATGGGCACAAGATATATATATATATCTTGTGCCCATTAATATATCTCATGCCCATTACCTACTGAAGGCATCAATATCCTGTTCTTTTACCAACACCTGGAATTGAAATGTTATTTAAATGTCATCACTATCCCTTCATTTCCATCCTTGAATGAATAAACAAAGACATTGTAATAGAAATGCCAGTCTCTGCAGGAGGAAGACTTTAAAGTACATGTTCCATCATCAGTAAGTTCTGCACATAGGAACCAGTTTTTACATGAGAGTCAATAAAATTGAGACAGAATTGTAAAATGCAGAGAAGTTGAGAAAGAACCCTACCACTCAAAGTCTGATACAAACCCAGTCCTTCCTTTGGAAGGTGGTGGCGGGGAGAGAGGGCACTTTGGGCGCTGTCCACGGTCCTGATAATTCTAGCCCCAGTGGCCTGTATATGAAAATCAATTAAAAACCTTGTTTTCAAAATTCACATTTTTCCCCTTGCGTTTGTATGATATAATATCTATTTTTCTTTTCCATACAAATTTTTATATACTTATTTGGTTTCTTTTTTACATCAAATCATGTTTAGATGATATTTTACAATATGAATTTAATTTACCATTTATAACCTACATGAATTTTAAAGGTAAGTTTTTTTCTGTAAATGTAGTGGTGTTAGTATTAACTCATTCATCAGACTTTCCTCATCACAGCCAGTTATGTCAGTGGAAATGACTTTTTGAAGGTTTTGATCATTGTTTATTGTTGCTCCAATTAAAACCTTAAATTAGAAACAGCACATTAAATGTTTCTTCTTGCTTAAACAACATCAAATACGTTCATTTATGCACAGTGTGTCCTGCTCGTTTTACATGAGTTCAGTGAGAACTTCCGTGATGTTTTTTGCACGGGTGTAATTTTTGCTGCCACCGTGTAAAGCACGGTGGTCAAAAGGCACAAGCAAGTGAGTGCGTGTGGGTTATGGGTCCCTGTCTCTTGCCCGTGTAACTGGGCAGACTCCGTAAGCTCTGCGTCTCCATTTGCTCAACCAGTAAAATGGCACTCATGGTACCACCGACCCACAGGAGTGTCTGAGGGTAAAAATTAACGAACACGCTGACAGTATCTGTCACGTGGTGAGCATTCAATCCTCCCAGCACTCTTCTTGCTTGACGTGCGTCTTCGGGCCCTTTGCACCTTCACCGTGAGTATTTCTGATAGAAGCACATGGAAACTGCACCTTGCCTCCCGCTGCCCCCGTCTCCACAGTGCTGGACGCGCAGGAGGTGCTCACCAGATGCAGTGTATGCGGTCGGCAGATCCTTGTGGGCTGCCTTCTGTGTGCCCGTGTTCTCAGCACTTCGAGAATATTCGTCATTTAATCTTCAGAGCAATGATACGGTGTGTTCTAGGGTTAATCCCATTTTGTGGATGAGGAAGTTGAGTTGCAGGGGTTACCGCCCAGGGCCACACAGCAGGTAATGCGTAATGATTAATTGCTGTAGTTAATTAGAAGGGAATGAGTGAGGGGGAAAATATGGCTTCTTTCCCAGAAGCATGGAAAGTAAATCTAGCAGAAATGCCTGGACTGTGGCTCAGGATGTAGAGCAAGGGGAGCTCCATGGGAAGAACGTGAGCTTTGCAGTTAGAAGAACCCGAGGTTAAATCTCAACTCCACATAAATTGCTTAACTGCTCAGGGCCTACATCTCCTCAAGCAGTGTACCAGGCCAGCACTGGGGGTCCAGCAGTAAAGAAGGCAGACACGGTCTGTGCTCTCGTGAAGCTTCAGTTCTGATGAGAATGACAGGAAATTAACAAGTAAACAGATCAGAACAAGGGCATCACATACTGCAGTGAATGCCGTGAAGAAAAGGTGATGATACAGATGGTCAGCTGGGTGCCCTTTCTGAGACGATCGCATCTGACCTGTGCGGAGAGCTGGGGCAGAGCACTCACCGTGAGACAGCGCCAAGCACAAAAGCCCCAGGATGGCAAGCTTCACATGGTGGCCAGGCCAGTGAGGCCAATGCCTGGTGACCGGGTAGAGGTGGCGTGAGGGAGACTTGGTCAGAGGGGTAAACAGGAGTCCAATCATGCAAGGTCTTCGAGGCCAAGGGAATTTGAGTCTTACTTGAAATGTGTTGGGAAGGTACTAAGTGGCATCCAGCGTAGGAATGAGAAGATCCACTTCACAGTTTTCAGTGACCACTCTTGCTGCTGTGTAGAAAATGAATTGCAGCGGAAAAAGAACAGAAGCAGAGACATAATTTATGGAGCTACCGATGATGGTGATTTAGACACGTGTGAGTCAGTGGCTGTGGAGAGACAGGTTTACATTTGATATATGTGTTGGAATTCATAGCCTTGCTGATGGATTGTTGAGGATGGGCTAGATGAAGTAAACAAGAATAACTCCCTAAAATTTTGTTGAGCAACTGGGTAGATGATTATATGCTCTCCAAAGTGGAAAAGTTTGATGTGAAGGGGCAGAGAGAATCGAGATTCTCTTTGGGGCAAATTAAAGTTTGAGATGCTTTTGAGACCTCCCAATGGAGATGACTTTGAAAAGCAATTAGGTATATGAGACTGGAGCTCAGAAGACAGGTCAGTGCTGGAAATACATGTTTGGAGCCCAGTAAATGGTAATTTGAAGCCATGGAGATAAATGAGATTGTCTAGTGCAGGGGTGTATATAGAGAAGAGGGCCAACTACAACATGTAGCCCACATTTTAAGCCTGCATATAAGCATACACTTAACATTATAGCTTAAGATATTTCCATATGCTAAAAACCCCTCATAAGAAGAGTTTCAGTGGCTGCATCATCAAAATGTTCCATAGGAGGCTTAACCATTCTCTTGTTATTAGACATTTTGTATTGTTTTTCATCATTATAAATGTCGTCGTGAACGTCTTGGTGCATAGAGCTTCATTTGCATCTTAGGATGCATACTGTGGGAGGTCAAGGAAGGAAGATACGGTTGGGGGGCTAAAGGAGATTTTCTTGGAGAATGATTTATGTTAGAAAAGGGAGAGCACTTCTAAATCCATGATGGTTCTGACCAACCTCCCTGAAGATAACTAAAAAGCAGGCCAAAATATTTGTAAACTACTCTTTGAAGGTACCAGGGAGTTAACGAGACACAGAAATTAAGGGCCAGGACCCAGGAGTAGACAAGGGCTCGGAGATGAGCCTGGTGTTTGGGCTGCTCTTTCCTCGAGGTATTTTTCATTTCAGAGAGAGAAGCAAAGAGGCTAAGTGACTGGTGTTTCTCACAGCCTTGAGGAGCCAAGGTGATGGGAAATATTGCCTGGTAGACCTCTGTTTCTTTAGGTTGGGACCCCCAAGGGGCTATATCAGAAGAGTGATCATGAACCAGAAATAACCCGGGACGACACTCAGTTTCAAATATTTCAGCCCCAGAAATTGAGTTTCAGTAACCTGGTGTGCTGTGCCTTCAGACATCCTGGATTACTGCTGTCCCAGGTACCTGCCAGCAAAAATCCTCTCTGGAAAAAGATACCACCTTAGGTCTCAAATTATTGGTATAATTTTTCATATATGTTCTCTGGCACTCAATCAAAAAAAACATGAGGTGACAAGACAACATGATATGAAAATTAAGAGAAACCATAACTAATAGAAATGAACACAGAAGGGCTCAAGATAACAGAGTTATCAAATTTAAAACAACCTTGTTCAGTATGTTTAAAGAGAAAAAAGAGAAGATTGAAGATGGATACCGAACATGTCAGCAGAAGACAGGACAGAGTATGAAAGGGAATCATGAAAATTCATGAACCAGAGAAAATACAACCAAAATTGAGGAATCAGTAGTTGATTTTAGCCACAAAAGAGAGAAATTGTAAATGGAGGACCGACCAGTTGAAAATAGCCAGAATGAACCACTAAGAGACAAAATGATGGAAAATACAGAAGATGGGGTAAGAGACATACGGGATACAGTGACCAAGGTCTAATGTCCATATTTACAGTTTAAGAAGAAAGATAATGGGTGTTTTACTTTTTGGTAATAACACTTAAAAGTCAATATTAAACCTTAGGCTTGAAGTATCACTAAGAAGGCAGTAGCAAGAGAAAGTTAACATGAGCACCACTTTGCTTAGACCGGTGCTTCCTTCCTTTGGTCAACTAAGTGGTGACTGCATCCGTCTCTCTTCCCCTCCCTGCCTCTCCCTCCTCCCCCCTCCCTTTGCGGTGGCCATCACCTGCTCTCAGCTGGTGTCTAGTGACGACCCCTTGCGGATGTTCTTGCCCCAGTCTGCAGAAGGGGTTGGAGTCATATGGTCAGTGTGCGGGGGTCTGTCCTCTCTTAGTGAATGATAAAATAAGCAGACAAAAAGAATCCATAAGAATACTAAGTTTCATTCAATGCACTTAGTAGGGTGGACCCTATTTGATATCCACAAAACATCACACCCAACAACTGCAGAGTACACGCATCTTTTAAAGTGTATGTGGAACCACTTACCAAATTTGTCATTTTGCTGTGCCATAAGACATACCAACATTTCAAAGGATTAAAGTCATAACAGTATGCTCTGACCCTAGAACAGTTAAGCTGCATATCAAATAATAGAAAATTCCCACAGTTTTAGAAACTAAACAATATATTTCTCAAATACCTAAGGGTCAAAACCAAGAAATGAAAATTAGAAAGTATTAAGTGAACATTAATGAAAATACTAACATATAAGAGGTGCTCAGTCAGTTGAGCGTCCAACTCTTGGTTTCAGCTCAGGTCCTGATCTTGGGGTTGTGGGATCGTGCCATGGTGTCGGGCTCTGTGCTCAACCTGGAATCTGCTTGAGATTCTCCCTCTCCTCCCCTCCCCTGCTCATGCGCGCGCGTGCTCTGTCTTTTAAAATAAATAAACCTTTTAAAAAAATAGTACCTACAAAGTTTGTAGACTGCAGCTAAAGCTACTCTTAGTTGGAGATTTATTACCTTAAATGCACATGTGAGAAAAGAAGGCAGAAAATCAATCACCTAAACATCCTTAAGTAGTATGAGCATAACTTAAACACACAATTAAAGGGGGAAAAGATGAGAAATATAAGAGCAGAACATAATTAAACAGGAAACAACCACAATAATTTTTTTTTTT